AACCCGTCCAGAAGACCTATACAATTTTTTTTCTTTTTGATTTTTTACCTGGATTACTGAGATGCATCAGGACAAGGATTTAAAGGCTCACACCACTCACTAAAACTACAAGCTGAGCTGTACAGAACTGGGCTGAACAGGGATGTTTTGAACAAAGTCTGCCACAGACATTACAGCAGAACCTCAGAAAATCTGTAGATGTAGATAATTAAATCCTGACCAGCTGTCTGGATGTGCTTGGTTGCAGTCGTGTCCTGCTAACGTTCCGGTTCCTTCTCGCTGACTCCAGCTCATCCTCAGTGTCCTCATCACTGGCTGGACAGGAGTCCATGCCTGTAGCAGCAAGGCGCACGTCAGGCATCTGGAAGTCCTCCTGGGGRAAAAAATAAATAACAGCCACACAAGTGAAACAGTGTGGCACAATCACGACACCAACAGTAAAAGCACTTCAMCTACATGGTCATGTGACCTAAGGTAAAGAACTAGAGATTGGTAACAGTGGGCCCKGTGAAGCTGAGGACATTAGAGATATGTCAGCCAACATTGGGACAAAAACTTTCTGTAACAAGTCATATATCAGTTCAGTAAATTTATTTGAAGGATGTGGTTGAGCAGGGCAGCATATCTATTTCCTTTATCTCCTCTCTTTATTTAACAGAACTCAACTTCAGGATGCAAATCCAATATTAGGAGTGTCCCGATCCGATAACAAAAATCAGAATATTAGCCAAAAAATTAATATCGGATTATATCAGCCTACATCTAAAATCTCCGATATAAGCACTCCGATATAAGCGATATTATCYGGTAGTCCACTCAGAATTTATATCCAGCAGTGCTTGGATCCAGCAAAAATACCTTCAGTGATCTTGAATAGTTATTTTAAGTTTTAAAAATATATTTTTGTTTTTGCTATATTTATTGAGGTCACTTTTAAGGGTCTTATATTTTATTATTTAATAATTGTAGAATATTATTATGTTTATGTTAAAAAACAAATTTTTTTATCATTGTAACCCATTGGTTACTAATAAAAAAGGGACCAGTCTCTCATACCTATTGTTGTTGACTGTTGTTTACTGTTTGACCTAATCAAGATTTTTATATTGAATGATGGAAATTGCTCAATTTATTAAACTCAGTTCAGTGGAACTAGTTTGCTTGAGTAAATTCAACCCTTGATTTCTTAGAGTGTGTGTAAAAGCACTTTTATTTTCCAATTAATGGGCCTCATGCAAGAATTGTTTGTACCAACAGTTTTGTTCTTAAGTTGAGCATACGAGTGATTAAGGAGATCTTGTAGCATTCACCAATTTTCTCGTATTTTTAGATTTTTTTTTTCCAGATATGAAAAAAATTCACGTGTGGTCCAGACCTGTCGTGTATTTTATTTTATTTCTGTGACTATATATGACCCACGGGAGACACAACATTAACAGCAGTCGTCATTTCATCCCTTAGCTTTAGCAGGTCCTGGTTTAATTCCACAGCTGACGCTGCTAAAGATGAGAGATTTTCTTTTCTGGATCTCTGAGAGCAGGACTTCAATCTGCAAATTTGTAAAGTTCTTCTTTTTTAGGCTACTTTGTGATGTCATTTATGAATGGACACTTCCTGGTATCTGGGGCAGGAACAAATATCCTTATATGGTGTTTTTAGGGTGGTAATTATGCTAATCTCCTCTCCTTTTTTTAATCTCCTCTCCTCGTGCACGAACACCTGGATACACATTCATCAGTTTACGCTGCTCATTTATACACTTTTCCTGAAGATAGAAGAGTTTGTTGAATCTGACGTGGCATTTTTGTACGAGCAAAAGTAAGAGACATTTAGGATAAGAATACAAAAATGTGTTGAATGTGTGTTGTGCATGATGCCCATTGTGAGCAGTTTTATGACTTTTACTCAAATAAGTTTCTTATTGGTACTTGTGCTTACAGCTGTTTGTGAGGACAGCTGCAAGTCTTTATCCGTTTAGGTTTTGGGAACAGAATAAACTATTTGTCGTCTAATTGTTCAGGATAATGTGTCTGAAAGGCAAGATTCATTACTGACGTTTAACTATTTCTTCTAGAAGATGTTTCACAAAAAACACTACAACTCCATAGTGCTGGTAATGGAAACGTCAACAGGTTTGTCAGAAGAAGAGGGTGTCACTTGTTGTTCAGTATCAATCACTGATTGCTGCTGACAGCCTACAGGCTAGATTTACGTGAACAAAAAAAGAAAAGAAAAAACAACTTTATAGTAAATAGAAATGTCTGATTTGATTCAGTTATTAAATGATCATGTTTTGTTGTAAAACAACAGAGATTCCTACTTGAAATTAACAAGTTGATTAGCAGAAGAAAAAAAATTAGGAGACACTTGTGGAGCCAGAACCACATAAATGTTTTCACCTGATCATACTGATCAAAGAAGTGTTGTCTTTGTTGCTCCGCCTCTTTAGAACCTGAATCTGATGCGTCATCAGCAGCTCCTCCACTTCCCTGTGTAATGACATTATATTAATATACAGAATAAAATAAAAACCTGTCTTTGTGTTTGGAGTCTCACCGTAACAGGGATCTCCTGCCCCTCCACTCTGCCTCTCTGCATTGCAGGAYGGACCAATTTATTAAAATAAAGCTCCAATTCTCCTTCAGGCAGGTTGACTAAATCCATGTCATCATCTAATGGACAAATGCATTCATGAATGTCTCAATCACAGACTAGGATTAAGTTAGATAGGCTGACTGTATTCAAACTCTCACAGTAAGCTCTTAAAGTGATGAGTAAATGTGTTAGTCATACCTGTGATATCACTGTTCATGCTGTCCACAGACATCAGCTTTTCATTGGCCAGGAAACTCGAGTTACTGCCACTGAAATGGTCACTGTCACTGTCCTCAGCTGCAGCAGATAAGGCCTGAACAGGTGTGTGAAATGTAATGTGAGGAACAACAACACAAGAAAAACTCTTTGTATAATTACAAACTACCAGTCTGAGTTAGACATTATGTACACATTTTAAGTGGAGAATACGTATATGCAAAATATTTCTCTCACACACATTCAATATAAAAAAATATCTAAATTAGGAGGCAAATAATTACAATTACAAAGATGATTATAAACAAACTGATCATCCAGCAGTGAACAAACAAAACTGGTACCTTTACATCTGCACCACTCTTCTGTTCCAGTTGAGCAAACATCAAAAGGCCCGTTGACAAATCTGTCAAAAGTGGCATCATTGACCTTCATTAGTATTTAAACATGTATTAGTGCCACAACCAGGAAGTGCATTTCCAGAACATTAATGACAGATGACTTCTTAATATCAAAGTTATCACTGTCTGAAACAGTGATAGTGGACCGTAACAACTACAACTAATTTCCAGAAGTGCATGCAATTAAAGCTATATTCAGCCTTTTTTTTTTTTTATTCTGGCATTATTATTGTAAGAAACCCAGCAACCCCAAAAGGTTTGATTAATATCCACTATTAAAAAGTCTGCTTTTACCCTTTTGACTCGGTCTAAAGTAAAACAAATCAGTAAAAGATCTACACCCGCAGTGTTTCCCCTACCATTATACAACGAGACAAGCCGCCCCTCTAAGAATTTCACGGCATGTAGTCATTTTTATTTAAATAAGGCCAGATCAAGTCGAGAGCTATTTTTTGCGACCCTCCATATCCACCTCTCACCAAACTTGGGGAAAAAAGACGGCGCAGAGTGAGGCTGAGTGCTGTGTGTGGTCCTCACAAAGATAGGAAGACGTGTGTGAGATTAGACGCGCAGCTCTGCTTTTAATCACGTAGCACCGATGCGACAGCTTYGTAAGCTACTTTTTCTTTCTTTAAAAGAAAGTGTGACAGGTGAAGCCACAGCATGCTTACTACCTTAACAATAATTACTGCCTTTTTTTCTTTCTCTGTGGGTGGGGGGTCAGCTTCACTCAGCTGCAGGTGAACACCTCCCGCATCTCCTGGACTATTTTCCACCGAGGATTACGTCATATTTTATATTTTTTATATTTCTAAAAGCACTTTGCAGCATTTCCCCGTGTGTTCACGTCACGAGCGCAACAAAACCGCGACAGATCAGCTGACTGTTTTTAAAGCGAGGTGCAGCGAACATGTCCACCTGCAGCTCGGCTCTGACCAGCCCAGGAGTTCATACATGTCAACCCCTTTACATGTTTAACGTGTTTAATGAACGTCAAAAGTTTATAATTTGCGCAAAAAATCAGTATTAATCACGCGGGTGGGGTGAAGAGGAGGTGCGCTGACCGCAGCTGCGCGGGGTGGTGGGGAGGAGGAGGAGGGTCTTTTAAAGACGTGTCTACATTTGACTTTTATTTTTTCTAAAATCACAGAGTTCTCTGAGTCAGCTTCAGATGTTTGTAGTTAATCATAATATTTTCTAAATTTAACCAGATGTTTCAATGCCTTTAAATTACACAATAATTTTACTGGAGAAACTTGTCAGTTTGATTAAAAAAACAGTAAAAATATTTTTTTCTGTGCAGAGAACTTCCTCTGCTATAATTTATTTTAATTAAATATATCAAAGCCCCTCAGTTGAAAACA